TCGAAAAGTCCTCTACCATTTTGCAATTTTCGCAAAAGTCAGCGAGTTATTAATTATTAAAAATCGCTGTCTTAGGCCGGCCCACTGCCCAATTCAAACGTGCGGCGAGATCGATCGATCGTTACAACTCTCTGCGCGCCTAGTAACAATCGATCGATCTCGCCGCACGTTTCAATTGGGCAGTGGGCCGGCCTAAAACAGCGATTTTTAATAATTAATAACTCGCTGACTTTTAAGAAAATTGCAAAATGGTAGAGGACTTTTCGACTTAGTCTAGTCCACTCTATCCCACAATAAGCGTTGATGCGGGTATTACATAACACCCTGTATATAAAACTTTTACAATAAATATTAAAGACTACTCAAGTTCTTTTTATGTTCATTTATCGCTAAGATATCCAAAAAATGCAAGAAACCCGACCTAAATGCGTTAACTAGAAATTAAATGGTCAAAAAGTATAGAAGTTGAGTAACGTGGGTTACCACCACGCTTCAAAGGGTTAAAGGAAAAGCAAAGACATACATAAATGATTTAACAATTAGTTAATTTACCAAGAGGTTGGAACAACCTACCCTGAATCGTACAGGATAAAAAACGAAAAGAAAGGGACGTTAGGGACGCGAGCGATTTGTCAAAGTCTTCCGATTCGAACGTCGATAACAAAGAAACTAGTACGTCGCGGTGAATTCAACTTTGTTGTAAAAATTAACGCAACGCTCGTGCAGTTGTATAATTAATGTGTCTCGCCGATGTGTCGCGCCCAACGTTTGCACGAAGAATAAATATATTTCTTAAGAGAAATAAAATTAGACTCGAGCACGCCTTCCGAGAAAAATGTCCAACGTGAATCGAGGGAGGGAGGAGGGAAAACATAAAACGAAGCGAGTACGCCTTCTTCGGGGCGATAAAGCGCGCGTTACGATAAGTAACCATAAAGGTCAGCCTATAAATAAAGCACGCCGCGAAACGTGTCCTCTATGTAAATCGTCGCGCATTTACTGTATTACTGTAGCACGTCGCGCAAATCGGAAATCCGTCCGTCGCACATTTCCCGTTTCCCGAAAGCGCGCGACTGGCGCATGACGTGTGCAAGCCGCGCGCGCGTGTGCGATGATCGCGCTAACGAGAAAATTATCACTTCTCGTTTAGATACCTGCGCGCCGTCGCAATATCCCCGAGCGATCGAGGATAATCCGCGCGTATGTATCTGTAGCGAGAGAGACGGTCCGAAGAGCGATTCGTTCGACAGATACTCGACGAGCACGACGTGAACGCCGTGCGGATAAGAGAATTTATCTGGTGGAGTCCGAAAATGCCGCGTACCTATTGTCAAGATCCGCGAACACAATAGCAATAGATGTTAAGCGCACGCGTGACTTATCGAAGTCGGTGCTTGCGGAAATTGTAATTGTACGGTCAGAAAGGTTGTTCGACGTTTTACAATAAGTTTTCGGAATATTCCGAGGGGTAGACCGCTGAGGGATGTGTGCGGTACAGATTTGCGGCATTGTTACGCTGACAAAAAAGTTTTTTAAACTAGGTAAATATGATTGACTTAAAATTATTTTTTACCGAAGTAAATGTCTAGTCTATTTAAATTAAAATATCAAGTTTCAAGTAAATATATATATTACATAAGTAAATTAATTTAAATCGCTACATTTTCTACATGCAAGTCAAGATTTCATGTGAGATATAGAATACTATGTGTTAAATGAATTAGTTGTTTTAGTTAGATAAGAAATTCAATTTTCTTCGCTGTGAAAATTACATCTTACAATTAGTAAACATTTTATAGAATTAAAATAAATTTTTTAAATTTAAAATTATCTGCCCTTTGACATTCAATAAATACTTAAATTAAAGAAATACGTGTTTCGATTTGTTTATTATCTTTTAAATTTAATAAGCTATTAGGAATCACCTAATGAATAATTTTCTTAAGTAAAGTAATATTTTTTGGATTAAGCTATTTTTTTATCAGTGTACACTGACGAAAAAGATTTTTAAACTAAGTAAATAGATTGACTTAAAATTATTTTTTACCGAAGTAAATGCTTAGTCTATTAAAATAAAAATATCAAGTTTCAAGTAAATCTATGTATTACATAAGTAAATTAATTTAAATCGCTACACTTTCTACATGCAAATCAAGATTTCATGTGAGATATAGAATACTATATGTTAAATGAATTAGTTGTTTTAGTTAGATAAGCAATCCAATTTTCTTCGCGGTGAAAATTACATCTTACAATTAGTAAACATTTTATAGAATTAAAGTAATTTTTTTAATTAAAAATGATCTACTCTTTGATATTCAATAAATGTTTAAATTAAAGAATTACGTGTTTTAATTTGTTTATTATCTTTTTAATTTAAGTTAATAAGCTATTGGGAACCACCTAATGAATAATTTTCTTGAGTAAAATAATATTTTTTTCGATTAAAATATTATCAGTGCAGGGCATTTTTTGGACGTTAAATTGAGTCCTGCTGCGGCATTATAAAGGTAAAATAAGACAAACTAACATAAGATAATAAGATAAAGTAATGCTTACTTAGCATTGGTAGGCATTAGTGTACACGGTTTTAGTCAGCGGTTTACTTCTCGGAATGATTCGTACATATCATTCCTTTGCTCTAATGCGTCACTGCACATATCCGTGAGCAAAAGCTATAATCTCTCGCATGATGGATTGTCCCGCATTCGAACTGTATTTCCGAAATTTATCATAAAACGTCGGGCGACCTTTCTGACCACGACCGTGGTCAGTGATGGAATGATCGCAACACGTTTTTTTTTTTTAGTAAGTTTAGGAACGTGCGTTAGATTCAGAGTTATGTTCCTAAATCCTCTTCCCCGAGGAACATTTCACTCGATGACCATTCCGAAAGCATTTCGAGCGTTTTCGGTCTATTTCTCGAGTAAAATGTTCCTCAGAGAAAATATTTTGGAACGTAAACCTGAATCTAAATGCACGTTCCCAAACTCATTGAAAAAAAAAACAGTGTCACCATTCTGGTCCATCGCACAGATTCTACACGGCAGAAATCGCGCGCGTTTTGTTTACTCCTGTGTTACATTTGAAAACGGGCGTTTCCGCTAAACGTTCGGGCGTTCGTCGAGCTTTCTTTTATCCGGCGAAGAAATCACGCGAACATCGCGAGCGTAACAAACGCGCCACGTACCGTACAGCTTGATCTTCCCATCGTCGTTGGTCAGTATAATAATGTATCCTCCTAGATCGACCATTTTCGCTAGTAATTATCCGCCGCGTATACGTGGGGGTAGTCCGCTATTAGATTACCTCGCGCAGCACTCGGCGCGAGTGACGCGCTCGCTCGCGCAACGTGCACGGTGCAAATTCACTAATTACTCCGCGCACCACACGCCGGGTCCGCCCCGAAAAATCGGTCCGCCGTTATTAACGTCGTTAGCACATGCCATTTTCCCCGGTTTCCTCTTGCATCTTCACTTCATTTTAGTATCGACCTCGTGACCTACTTCGCGGCCGGCTAACAGGCGATTATATTTTTCGCACAGAAACGCACTTCTCTCT